GCCAGGTGTGGTGGTGCGCACCTGTAGTCCCAGATACTCAGGTGGCGGGGGCGGGAGGATCGCTGGAGCCTGGGAGGCAGAAGTTGCAGTGAGCTGCGGTCATGCCCCTGCACTCCAGCCTGGGTGACCCTGTCTCAACAAAACAAACAAACAAAGTTATCTAACTTTCTGGGGATCTTCAGCTGCCTTGACCTTGCTCACCTGCCTTGCCATTTTCTGGCTACTGTCTTTCTCTCCCTGTGCCTCACTGCTTAACATTCCAATTAGAATATTGTTTCTGTGAATGCTGACTGCAGGCCCACCAGAGAAACGGCCTTTGCTATCCATGGATAAACCCAGTCTGCAATGGCATATTTTTTCTCCTCACTTTAGTTTTTCCCTCTATTGATACCATTCTGCAACAGTCTTCATTCCTAGGGCACGTAATTTATCAGTGGAACTCCCAGCAGTATTTGGAGAGAAAGGTATTTCCTTCCTTCTCCCCTCCCCTTCCCTCCCCTCCTCTGCCCTCCCCTCCTCTCCCCTTCAACAGTGTCTTGCTCTGTTGTCCAGGCTGGAGTTCCTTCCGACAGTGTCTTGCTTTGTTGTCCAGGCTGGTGTGCAGTGGTGACATTATAGCTCACTGTAACCTCAAACTCCTGGGCTCAAGTGATCCTCCTCCCTCAGCCTCCCAAGTAGCTGGGACTACAAGCACACACCACCATGCCTAGCTAATTTGTTTATTTTTTTTTTAGAGATAGGGATCTCACTTTGTTGCCTACACTATTCTCAAACTCCTGGCCTCCTCCTAGCCATGCATGGTGATGCAAGCCTATAGTCCCAGCTGCTTGGGAGGCTGAGGCAGGAGAATTGCTTGAGCCTGGGGGGGTTGAGGCTGCAGTGAGTCATGATCATGCCACTGCACTTTGTTCTGGGTGACAAAGCAATACTCTGTCTCAAAACAAACAAACAAAAAAAGAAATGTGATCAGATTGGATCATGTATTCAAAACTAATGAGCCTTATGCATTCCCATTGGGGTAACTTATATTATTCTGATCTGTGAAATACCGGCTACTGATTTTCTAATGTCTCATGTGGCATCAAAACATGCTGATGCAGAGTGAAAGATGGAAGGAAGGGGAAGGTTTCCCCAACTGGTTTATTTCTCATCCACTCCAAAGAACAGTGCCAAAAGTAACTGAGTAGACATCCTGTAGACATTCTACAAACTATAGATCTGTAGAGTTTTTTGAAATGAAAATTTTCTTTATGCTGTATGATCATAATTAATTTATAATGTTACTCATTGGATTGGCTCTGAAATAGGAAGCAAGTAAGTAAGTATCCATCTTGTAGGGGAACAGGTGAGTGATGAAAGTAGAAGCACATCAGAGTCGGCCGGGTGCAGTGGCTCACGCCTGTAATCCCAGCACTTTGGGAGGCTGAGACGGGCAGATCACGAGGTCAGAAGTTCAAGACCAGCCTGGCCAAGATGGTGAAACCCCGTCTCTACTAAAAAAGATACAAAAATTAGCTGGTTGTGGTGGCGTGTGCCTGTAGTCCCAGCTACTCAGGAAGCTGAGGCAGTAAAATCACTTGAACCCGGGAGGCAGAGGTTGCAGTGAGCTGAGATTGTGCCACTGCACTCCAGCCTGGACAACAGAGTGAGACTCCATCTCCAAAAAAAAAGCAAAAACAAAACAAAACAAAAAAACACGCATGTCAGAGATCTGGTCCTTGATTTGGTTGGCACTATTGATTTAGAGGTTAGAATCTCGTAAGAAGACCCCAGGGGAATCTTTTGCCTTCTGTTCCGTGATCTCCACTGCACTGGCCTCCATCCCATTTCCACCTTCCCACCCTCCATTCCCGTCCCCTGGGAACACAGTGTGGAGGTTGATCAGCTAAGTATGTATTGAGCACTAGCATGAAGCTTTGCTCTACTTATTAGCATGACGGCTGGGCTGGGGGCAGCAGAACCAGCATAAATGTCATCCCTTCTCTCAGGGAGCTTGTGTTAACATGCACGAAACGGATGAGTCTGCCTCCTTCGCCTTTTGTACCACCTTCAGTTTATAGAGTGACTGACTGGAGTGCTGTCTCAAGAAGGATTCTGGAATCACAAGAGAGATCAGTGAAAAAAGGGGCTCCTTGTTGATTAGCGTTGCCTGCCGTGGCCCAGGATGGGAGAAAATAGGTTGTTTCCTGAATATATGGCATCCTCACACTGTCTAGTAAAGTGTGGAATAAAGTGTCAGTGGGTGACAGATGATAGAAGTTGCAGCTGGTGTGGGTGAGACCCGGATGAACTGGAAAGGGGAGTGGACAGGTGGCGGGAGAGCGTGTTGGCCAGGACAGCACATAGGCACAGGCCCAGTGACCAGAAGTGGGTGAGCAGGGGAGCCATGACGAGGAACCTCTGGCTGGAGTGCTGGGTCAGCTGTGGAGGAGAGGTGGGAGATTCAATGGAAAAGTGAGGCAAGAGAGGTTATGAGGAACAAGGGTGGTGGCCATGAAGCTTTCCAAGGTCAACTAATGAGATCCTTCCCTGCTTTCTCACTATCGCCACAGACAGAGACCTAGCCTAGACCAGAAGTTCTTTGAGGGCAGAGTGGTTGTATATAATAGACTTTCTTTCTTTTACTTTTTCTTTTTTTTTTTTTGAGACGGAGTTTTGTTTTGTTGCCCAGGCTGGAATGCAGTGGTGCAATCTCGGCTCACCACAACCTCCACCTCCCAGGTTCAAGTGATTCTCCTTCCTCAGCCTCCCGAGTAGCTGGGATTACAGGCGCCCGCCACCACGCCCGGCTAATTTTTTTTATTTTTAGTAAAGACAGGGTTTCTCCATGTTGGTCAGGCTGGTCTCGAACTCCTGACCTCAGGTGATCCTCCCACCCCGGCTTCGCAAAGTGCTGGGATTACAGGTGTGAGCCCCGGCACCCGGCCTGTAATAGACTTTCAATAACAAAAGCCCTTGAGTAAAATGTCAATTTTCTCCCATTCCTGCTAACTGATGGTATGTGTGGTTCTTGTCTTTTTCTTACTTACCATTATATAAATACATTTTAAAAACACAGCTGGATTCCCATAGCCTTAAACAGCAACCTAAAAAGATGCAACGTGTCGGGAGTGGTAGGAACCCTTCCCATTCTTCACCCAGCACAGCTGTGCAGAAGCAGTGACTGCAGCGCGGCTGGATCCTCACAGGTGATGACGCAGTTCAGTGGAACAATTACAGGGATGTTTGAATGGGAAATGGGAGAAAAATTGCAACTCTCATCCCCACTGTGGCCTGAGGCAAGTCTGGAGCTGCTCACACCCTGTTTTTTATTTTTTTTTCAGACATCAAGTCTTGCTCTGTCACCCAGGCTGGAATGCAGTGATGTGATCTTGGCTCACTGCAACCTCTGCCTCCCAAGTTCAAGTGATTCTCTGCCTCAGCCTTCCAAGTAGCTGGGATTACAGGCATGCGCCATCACACCCGGCTAATTTTTTTTCTTTTCTTTCTTTTTTTTTTTTTTTGAGACGGAGTCTTGTTCTGTTGCCCAGGCTGGAGGGCAGTGGTGCAATCTTGGCTCTCTGCAAGCGCCGCCTCCTGGGTTCACACCATTCTTCTGCCTCTGCCTCCCAAGTAGGTGAGACTATAGGCGCCCGCAACCATGCCCCGCTAATTTTTTTTTTTTTTTTGTATTTTTTGTATTTTTAGTAGTGACAGGGTTTTACCGCGTTAGCCAGGATGTTCTCGATCTCCTGACCTCGTGATCCGTCTGCCTCGGCCTCCCAAAGTGCTGGTATTACAGGCATGAGCCACCATGCTCTGCCCATACCCTCTCTTTTCCTAAGATTTTTTTACACCTTTGATTCTGGAAATTCTAAGAAAAAATGACATTTGAAGGCGAAAGAAACCATTATATATCCCAGTTTCTCTTTGTTTAAGCATCTGTCTCTTGGACACATTTAGGTTCGTGGTGTCTCAGTATTTGCTGACATCATAACCTTTTTGTTTTTAGGAAGTAGCATGCTTTCAGGCTTGAAGCTTAGAGCCAGGCTGCTTAGTTTTTAATCCTGGCTCTCCTGTTTTCTTGTTGTATTAGACTGGACAAGGTACTCAGCTTTTCTGTACTTAACTCTTTGAAAATGAGGATAGTAATAATACATACTATGTAAGTTTATTGTAAAAAGTAAATGAGCTGGGCGTGGTGGCTCACGCCTGTAATCCCAGCACTTTGGGAGGCCAAGGTGAGTGGATCACCTGAGGTCAGGAGTTCGAAACCAGCCTGGGCAACATGGCGAAACCCTGTCTCTACTGAAAATAAAAGTTAGCTGGGCATAGTGGCGTGTGCCTGTAGTCCCGGCTACATGGAAGGCTGAGGCAGGAGAATTGCTTGAACCCTGAAGGCGGAGGTTGCAGTGGTCCAAGATCCAAGATCATGCCGCTGCACTCCAGCCTGGGTCAACAGAGCAAGACTCTATCTCAAAAAAAAAAAAAAAGGAAATGAAGTTCAATGATGTGTTTAAAGCATGGACGTAATACCTGGTGCATCCTAAGTGTTCAGAAAATGATCACTATCATTATTTAGGGTTTTCCTTGGTGGAGGGGTAAACGGTACTAATATGATAGAAGGATCAGTTTCTTACTTTAGTATTGGAGTCTAGGCTCAGCTCTGCCACGAACTTGTGTGATAAAGGACTTAATTTTCTCATCTTTTAGCGGGACCAATAATACCCTATCTTGTTTACAGGGGTTTGGAGTCCAGTGTGATAATGAAATGCCTTGAAAAGTAAAAAGCGCAATCGATTTAGAGATTAGAATCTCACACATCAAATTTTATTACTGCTGTTGTTATAGGAATGGCGGTAGCGAATGATGATATTGATTAAAATTGATCCAATTTTAAGTTTTAAATGCAGTAGGAATGATTACTTGTGGCAGTAGTTTATGTACATTGCAAACAAGCATATTTGCTTTACTTTTCTTGAAGTAAAATAACATTTTTGGGTTTTTTTTTTTCCTCCTAGGAACCTTGGAGAGCTGATAGATCGGTTTGTGGCTGATTTCAAAGCCCAGGGGCCACCTAAGCCCAACACTGATGAAGGGGGTGCCGTGCTCCCCAGCTGCGCTGACCTCTTTGTCTACTACAAGAAGTGCATGGTGCAGTGCTCTCAGCTCAGTACGGGGGAGCCCATGATCGCCCTGACCACCATTTTCCAGAAGTACCTCCGAGAATACGCCTGGAAAATCCTCTCTGGCAACCTGCCCAAGTGAGTCCTATTCTTCATAGTCTGAGTGGTGGCAAATAGACCTAAATATGGGAACCTTAAGGAAATCCACTCTGAAGTTGTTTACTGAACCACCGAGAGTATCAAGGAAGAAAGCAGGCTTCCTGAGTTCCTGAGGGCCTGAAGCTGTTTCCTCTCTGACATTCCACAGCTGACAAGACCACCAAAGGAAATGTCCACTCTGGCTGCCCACGTGGCAAATCTTACCACAGTGGACTCGAGGGAACCTGTCCCATTGTACACCTATCTAATATCCATGGATTCAACTATATATACTTGGCACACACACAAAAAGTGAGGTTGTGGTGGAAATAACTGATAAATAGCTTAAGCAGTTTCACCCAAGCCTCATTCGGTGAGATGATGCCCCGGAGTGATGGGTGGGAGGAATGAATCTGCTTTTTCCTCATTCTGAGTAGGTTCCAAGTCCCTCTTGGGGTGCGCACTTCCCGCCATGCCGGACAGAGCCTAATGTTTCCGATGCGGTAGAATTGGGGGACAGCTACTGCGTAGCTCCTAATTATGGTGACTATTGTATTATCCTGATGCATTAGAGCTGGACAGAGCCTAATGTTTGAAGATGCGGTAGGACTGGGGGCAGCTACTGCGTAACCCCCAATTATGATGACTATTGTATTATCCTGAGGTATTAGAAGATTGTTACATTGCTTACTATTGAAATAGGTGGATCATTCAACTAGGATTTTAGAGATGTTTTGATTATATGATAGGTTTGATTGTAATAGAATATGACCTAAAGTAATGCTTGTGAATTTAGTATTTTCAAATCACCCCCATGGCTAAAAGAATTCCGGAATTTGTTTCTGTCATTATCACTAAAATGTATCACATATGGGAGTTTCACGTTATTTGGAAGAAAGAGAATAAAATCCTGTGCTCACAGGAGATAGAAGTGACGGGTGTTTCACTAATGAGAATTCTTTGACTATGATAAAAATTACTAATATTTTTTTTTTTGGAGACGGAGTTACACTCTTGTTGCCCAGGCTGGAGTACAATGGTGTGATTTTGGCTCACTGCAACCTCCGCCTCCCGGGTTCAAGCAATTCTCCTGCCCCAGCCTCCCGAGTAGCTGGGATTACAGGCACCACCACCGCACTGGGCTAATTTTGTATTTTTAGTAGAGACGAGGTTTCTCCATGTTGGTCAGGCTGGTCTCGAACTCCCCACCTCAGGTGATCTGCTCGCCTCGGCCTCTCAAAGTGCTGGGATTACAGACATGAGCCACCGCGCCCGGTCTTAAAATTTTAATAACTTTTGTTCTGATTATCAAGATAGCACAGGTTCATCATAGCTTAGAAAACATAGGAACACATAAAGAAAAAAACAAAAATTGGCCGGATGCAGCGGCTCACGCCTGTAATCCCAGCACCTTGGGAGGCTGAGGCGGGCGGATCACTTGAGGTCAGAAGTTTGAGACCAGCCTGGCCAATATGGTGAAACCCCACCTCTACTAACAATACAAAAATTAGCCAGGCATGGTGGCGTGTGCCTGTAATCCCAGCTACTTGGGAGGCTGAGGCAGGAGAATCGCTTGAACCCGGGAGGCGGAGGTTGCAGTGAGCCGAGATTACGCCACTGCACTCCAGCCTGGGCGTTGCGGGGAGACTCCGCCTTAAAAAAAAAATTATGTATAATCTCACTACCCAAAGAAAACTTAACTTTTTGGTATATATTTTTCCGTTCTTGATAGATACATAATGTGTGTGATCTGCGTGCTTTTGTTTGTTTGTGTCACGGAATTGGGGCTGTACTGCTGATAGCTTTATTCCCTGCAGCTACCGTTTAACTTCATCCGGGGAGCATTTTCCCACATGTATTAGTCAGCGACTCAACAGGAAAAAAATGGCATATTCAGCTGGGGTTTTGTCAGTAAAGAGACAGTTCACAGAAGTGGGGGCAAGGTGAGAGGAGCCAACAGAGGATTCCGAAGCCTCCAGATACGAGTGGGGAGTGGTTACTACCATAGAACTCACTCAGGAGCTGGAGCTGCCCCAAAAACCTGTAGTCACAGGAGGATGTGAGATGGGTTTTAGTCTCTTGGGACACTTGGGGCCTTGGGCAGGAAGTGTGTCTTCACATTCGCCTGTGTCCTCCTCCACAAGCACACAGAAGTCCCAGTGCAGACTTTTCTTGAGTGAAAGAAACAGGGTACAGCCGGGCGCGGTGGCTCAAGCCTGTAATCCCAGCACTTTGGGAGGCCGAGACGGGCGGATCACAAGGTCAGGAGATCGAGACCATCCTGGCTAACACGGTGAAACCCCGTCTCTACTAAAAAATACAAAAAAAACTAGCCGGGCGAGGTGGCGGGCGCCTGTGGTCCCAGCTACTCCGGAGGCTGAGGCAGGAGAATGGCGTAAACCCGGGAGGCGGAGCTTGCAGTGAGCTGAGATCCGGCCACTGCACTCCAGCCTGGGCGACAGAGCCAGACTCAGTCTTAAAAAAAAAAAAAAAAAAAGAAACAGGGTAGGTAACCACCTTTCGTGCTCCAGATGGTCCCCAGTGAGTTCTGCATATCAGGAGATTCAAAGCTAAAGAGAGGGCAGCTCAACAGCCTTCCCTTTGGATATTAGACCGTCCTAGTTAATGTGACTAATGACTGGCTGACAATTCAGGTTAACTAAAATAGGAATCATCTCTTCCTATTTCTGATGGTGAGAGAATCTAAACAGACAATAGTCAAGGTAAGGTCAGTAGGAAAAGGACTCATTGTATGTGGACTGATTTGGGCCATGTCCAGCCTTTACTTCCCCCCTTTCTTTTCTTAAAATATGCAGTTTCCAGTTCAGGAAGCAAATTAGAAATTCCAGGCTGACTCGTTCCTGTTCCTTTTCCTCAGAACCACAACCAGCAGTGGAGGGCTGACCATCAGCAGCCTCCTTAAGGAAAAGGAGGGCTCAGAAGCAGCCAAGTTCACTCTGGAGGAGCTCTGCCTCATCTGCGGCATCCTGAGCACAGCAGAGTACTGCCTGGCCACCACCCAGCAGGTGAGCCGCCCGGGCTGCCCCCCAACCACCGCCTTTTCCTAAACTCTGGGCCGCGTCGCTCAGCGAGTAAGAATATACGTCCTGCCACGGCCAGAGACAACGCTGAGTCAGACCAGTGGGCCTGCCACAGAGGAAAGCTCACCGTCCAGCCATAAGGCTGCCCAGGCAGCTGTCTTACAGGCAGGCCTTGTTAAAAGGAGACTGGGCACGAAAGTAGGACTGGTCACCTCCCTGGCGTTGTGTAAGCTCCTCAAAGGGCATGACCTGGGAAAAGTAGGTCAGTAGCACTCCTGCCCGTATGAGAAAAGCAGGAACAGACTTGTCTGTACTAGGACCCAGCCTTTGGTGATGGCGAGTCACAGCCAGTTATTCCACGCTCAGAAGAGTCACAGAGTTAGGCAGAATGCTCTGGGTTTTTATGTCTTCTGAAATTTACACGGCATTTTCAATCTGCCTAAACAAACAGCCATTGTTTGGGATGCTGACGTTCAGGAACTGGGGGGCAGGAACGGGTGATGTCTCTGTTGGAGGCCCCCAAAGGGCCGTAGTTCAGCAGCTGATGGGGCAGAAGGAAGACCCAGAATAACCTCTGACTCAGCCGTGAACGTGGGGTTAGAAATTCCTTTTCACACTGGGGCTGGGATTCCCTGAGGCCAGGAGAAAGAACGTAATTTGGAAAGGTTCTGCTCTTCTGCCCACTTTGTATTGATAATTTACAGATGCCTAGACCACAGGAAGACAGTCATAAGTGATTTTTCAGACAGCACAGCTTGGCGCTCCTGTGAGCCAGGGCAGCAATACAGCAGGTCAAACAGGAAGTGTGTCCACAAAGGCCCTCAGTGGCACGTAAGCCAGCCGGAGGCAGAGGCAGCAGCACACTCTGCCTGGGGACCTGGTCGTGTTGAGCTGCGAAGGCCATGACCTGCCAGGGTTTGGCCTTGGAGCCACAGAGCAGTCCGTTCAGCCCCCGGCCACTCCCGGGGGAGATGGCACTATCGGTAAGGACCTCCAAGGCAGGGGTTCCAGAGTTCTTTTGGGAAGAAGCACTGTTGAACTATTTTGTGTGTGCAGAAAGAAAGACATACGTGTAAATATGCTATTTTAAAGGTAAAATAACTATAGTATAAAAAAACAAAAATGATCCCTCTTAATCCCGTCATCCTCAAATAATCATATTAGCAGTTTGGGGTGTTTTTTCAATTGTTATTTATAGACATAGTTTTGTATGTTTTAATCTTAATTCACTGTTACATCCTTTTATTGTTAGTGTCATACGTAGCATTAGCATTTTTCCTGTCATTATAATGATAGTAATAATCATTATAACTATCATTACAGAGTCATTATTACTATCATTGTTTATGGCCACATAATATTTCTCTTTAAGGGACTATACCATAAATTATTTATTTATTTATTTATTTTTTGAGACGGAGTCTTGCTCTGTTGCCCAGGCTGGAGTGCAGTGGCTGCAATCTTGGCTCACTGCAACCTCCGCCTCCCAGGTTCAAGCAATTCTTCTGCCTCAGCCTCCTGAGTAGCTGGGATTACAGGCGCCCGCCACCACCCCTGGCTAATTTTTGTGATTTTTTTTTTTTTTTTTTTTAAGTAGAGATGGGTTTTACCATCTTGGCCAGCCTGGTCTCGATCTCCTGACCTTGTGATCCACCCGCCTCGGCCTCCCAAAGTTTTGGGATTACAGGCGTTAGCCACTGCACCTGGCCTTATACCATAAATTATTTAGCAGTATCCCTGATCATTGTTTATGCTGCTGCGAATTTGCCTTTTTTTTTTTTTTTTTTTTTTTTTTTGACGGAGTCATTCTCTGTTGCCCAGGCTGGAGTGCGGTGGCACGATCTCGGCCCACTGCAAGCTCCACCTCCTGGGTTCAGGCCATTCTCACGAGTAGCTGGGACTACAGGTGCCCGTCACCATGTCCGGCTAGTTTTTTTGTAATTTTAGTAGAGTCAGGGTTTCACAATGTTAGCCAGGTTGGTCTTGATCTCCTGACCTTATGATCCACCTGCCTCGGCCTCCCAAAGTGCTGGGATTACAGGCGTGAACCACTGGGAGTAGCTGGGACTACAGGTGCCCGCTACCACGCCCAGCTAATTTTTTGTATTTTTAGTAGAGATGGGGTTTCATCATGTTAGCCAGGATGGTCTCCATCTCCTGACCTCGTGATCCACCCGCCTCGGACTTCCAAAGTGCTGGGATTACAGGTGTGAGCCACCCACTGTGCCTAGCCAAAATTTTGCTTTTATAGATAATCCTGGCAGGGTATAGTGGCTCATGCCTGTAATCCTAGCATTTTGGGAGGCCAAGGCGGAAGGATCGCTTGAGGCCAAGAGTCCAAGACCAGCCTGGGCAACATAGTGAGACCTGGTCTTTACAAAAAATTTAAAAATTAGTTGAGTGTGGTGGCACATGCCTGTGGTCTCAGCTACTTGGGAAGCTGAGGTGGGAGGATTGCTTGAGCCTGGGAGGTCAAAGCTGCAGTGAGCCATGATCACACCCCTGCACTCCAGCCTGGGTGACAGAGTGAGACCCTGTCAAAAAAAACAAACAAACAAACAAAAAAAAAACAAAAAACAACCAAAACGCAATAATCCTTACAAAGGATGTCCTTCTGAATATAGCATCTTAAATATTTTGCATTGGTTTTCTAGAACAGACTCTTAGAAGTTCTAGAAATAAGTTGAAGACCATTTTGATGACCGATGATACAAGTAGCCAATTATTTTTTATTTAGTGAAAATGTTTTTATTGATTATAAAAGTAATACATTCTTAACACCTTTATTGTAATCTCTAAATACAGTTTTTCACTAAAAGAAACCAGAGATTCCTGGAGAAAAATTCTAGGTCAAGGGCACGAAATGTACAAGATGAACCTAGAACATCATGTTATACAAAAAGCAAGAAAAAATCAAAGACTATTTGTGTCATCTCAAGAGAACCCAGGGAGATATAGTGGGTTGCAGTGTCCCCCCAACCCCAACATATGTCCAAGTCCTAGGCCGTGGGACCTGGAAATGTGACCTTATCCTGGTAAATGTACTTAGATACCTCACGATGAGCTGGTCCTGGATTTAGGGTTGGGGGGGCCCTTCCCTAATGACTGTTGTCCTTAGAAAGGAGAGAGGGAGATTGAACACGCAGAGATGCAGGGAAGAAGGTCGTGGGAAGGAGGCAGAGGCTGGACTCACACTCTACAAGCCAAGGAGCATCAAGGATTGTCATCAAACCCCCGAAACTAGAAGAGGGGTGGGAACAGTTTCTTCCTCAGAGCCTCCAGAAGAGGGGGGCGCAGCAGCTCACACCTATAATCCCAGCACTTTGGGAGGCTGAGGAGGGAGGATCACTTGAGGTCAAGAGTTTAGGACCAGCCTGGCCAACATGGCAAAACCCTTCTCTACTAAAAGAATACAATTAGCCAGGTGTGGCGGCTCCTCACTTGGTAGTCTCCTTCCCCAAGCCTCAGGTCCCCACTTCAATATCTGGCCACCCCTCTTCAGCAGAGCGCCCCTCCTTGGCCACCCCCCGTCAGCAGAGAGCCCCTCTTGGCCACCCTCCTTCAGCAGAGCGCCCCTCCTTGGCCACCCCCCGTCAGCAGAGAGCCCCTCCTTGGCCACCCCCCTTCAGCAGAGAGCCCCTCCTTGGCCACCCCCCGTCAGCAGAGAGCCCCTCCTTGGCCACCCCTCTTCAGTAGGCAACTCTCTTATTCCAGCATTGCCAAATTTGTTTCTTTCCTGACACCACAAAACTGAAGTTACATCTCGGCTGGCTTACTTCCTTATAATCTGGCTCCCCCATTAGTGTTAAGTTCCATGCCAGAAAGAGTCTACTCTGTTCATCTCGGTTCGTTAGCGCCAGATACGATGCCTGGTGCGTAGTAAGTGCTTAATGAAGATCTCTTGGAGGAGTAAATAACCCAATCCTGAGATAATGGCATTAATCCACGACGAGACCGGAGCCCTCATGACCTAATACCTCTCAACACTGTGGCATTGGGGATTAAGTTTCTAACACATAAACTTTGGAGAACACAATCAAACCATAGAACGATGTTATAAATTGCTATTGCTAGTTTTTTTTTTTTTTAACTACACTTTTCAGGATATTTTTAGATCTATAGAAAAATTGCAGAGATCATTTGCATGGTTCCCATATACCACTTACCCAGTTTCCCATATTATTAACATTAATATGAAAAATTTGTTACAATTAATGAATCAATAACGATATATTTTTGGCGTTGCTTTTAAATTTTATTTTCCAATTCCTTGTTGCTCAGATTCTTTTTGTTTAATATGGGGCCTCAATCTGTTGCCCAGGCTGGAGTGCGGTGGTACGATCACAGCTCACGGCAGCCTGGAATGAAAGCGATCCTCCCCTCAGCCTCCCAAGTGGCTGGGACTACACGGGGACTTCAGGCACCTGCCACCATGCCGGCCAGTAGTTTTTATTTTTGTGGAGATGAGGTCTCACTATGTTGCTCAGGCTGGTCTTGAACTCCTGGGCTCAAGTGATCCTCCTGCCTCAGCCCCCACAGTGTTGGGATTACCGGCTGTACCACTGGGCCTGGCCTGCTGAGATTATTAAGTAATTCTCTGGTTTCTTCTTCCCTTTCTCTTTGCCTCCTGCAATCTCCTCTTTGAGAAACTGGGTTGTTTGCCCTGTAGATTTTCCCAAGGTTTGGATTTGGCTGATTGCACCCACAAGTATTAATGGCCATTTTACTTTGTCTCTTGTATTTCCCATAAATTGGTAGTTAGATGTAGAAGCCTGAGCTGATTCAGGTTCTTTTTTACAGAAAACTACGTCATAGTGATGTTTTGTGTGTCTGCCGTCAAGATACACAATGCTTGGGTGCTCTTTGTGTGATGTCAGCAGCCACTGATGCTGAAAGCCCAGATTCTTTACTCCATTAGGAGGTAGAAAGAAAGATACTCTGGCCGGGTGCGGGGGCTCACGCCTGTAATCCCAGCACTCTGGGAGGCTGAGGTGGGCAGATCACCTGAGGTCAGGAGTTTGAGACCAGGCTGGCCAACACAGTGAAACCCCGTCTCTACTAAAAATACAAAAATTAGGGCCGGGCGCGGTGGCTCATGCCTGTAATCCCAGCACTTTGGGAGGCCAGAGGCGGGTGGATCATGAGGTCAGAAGTTCAAGACCAGCATGGCCAACATGTGGCCAAAAAGGAAAGAGCATGGAGAGCCTAGAAGGTGGGGGTGCAGCAGAGCAAGGGAGTGGGCCAGAGGGCTGAGCAGGGCGCATTTCAGGGAGAGGAAGAAGTGGAGAGCTTAGAAAGTGGGGGTGCAGCAGAGCAAGGGAGTGGGCCAGAGGGCTGAGCAGGGCGCGTGTCAGGGAGAGGAAGGAGGAAGTGTGAAGTATGAAGGTCCTGAGGGCGAAGGACCCTGGGGTCTCCCAGAAATTTAAAAGGCCAGTGTAACTGAAGCCTAGCAGGCAAGGTGGAAAGTAGCAAGATGGGGCCAGAAAGCTGGGCAGGACCCAATTCATGGTTAGGAATTTGGATTTTATTTTCAGTGTCATAGGAAGAGCCTGCTGAAGAGTTTAAGCATGATAAGCCTGTGCCATAATTTGTTTTATCCCTTATAAATACACATGTAGATTGTTTCCAGCTTTATGAGGACAGTATTGATCTGTTTTGTTCACTGAATAACTCTCTTATTCTGTTACACAGCCTGAACAGAGAAGGCTTTCAGTAAATATTGGTTGAATTAATGAATGCTGCAAAAAATACTTGCATATCTTTATCCGTTATTCTCCTTATTTCATTGAAATGCATTTCTAGCTGTGAAATTGCTGGTTTAGGCAATATGTGTATTTAAATTTTTGCTTCTTGAATAAATTGCCTTCCAAAAAGGTTATACTAATTTATGCACCCCAATAGCATTTTCAAATTTAAGACAAAACATTGGTTATTCTGGCCAGGCGCAGTGGCTCACGCCTGTAATCCCAGCTGTAGTCCCAGCTACTCAGCACTTTGGGACTTGGAGGTGGGTGGATCACCTGAGGTCAGGAGTTCAAGACCAGCCTGGCTGATATGGTGAAACCCCATCTCTACTAAAAATACGAAATTAGCTGGGCGTGGTGACGCACACCTGTAGTCACAGCTACTCAGGAGGCTGAGGCAGGAGAATCGCCTGAACCCTGGGGGTGGAGGTTGCAGTGACCTTAGATCGCGCCATTGTACTCCAGCCTGGGCAGCAAGAGTGAAACTCCGTCTCAAAAAAAAAAAAAAGCCAAAACATTAGCTATTCTTAGAGTTTGTGTAATAGGTTTACGGTGCTAGATTAATCAACTCTCAGGAATATTTCCAAGTATTTACGAGTCCTGGTCCCGTTATTTTTCTTTGAGCTCCCGGAACATGTTGATTGTTTCTGTCCCTGGCTGTTGGCTGATGGCAGCAGAGGCCGCATCTCTTTTGTTTGCCACTGTATCCCCAATGCCTTAATGAGGCGACTGGCCCACTGTAGCATTCACCGGCTATTTTAGCTGGTTTTACTGCTACTCACCACCAAAGGTTTCCAATCTGGGTGGGCAAGTTCATGGGGCAGGGAGTGTCTTAAAATCAGGTTCTTTTCAGAATGAATTGATGGGAATTATTGATGTGTCAAAAGAAAGAAGTACAGCACAGTGCTGAAGGTCACAGGCTCTGGAGGGAGTTTGATTCCTGGCCCTACCACTTCTATCTTGGGTAGGCCCCCATGCCATTTTTCTGATCTGTAAAATGAGGATGATAACAATAGAATCTTCCTCATAAGGTTATAAGATTGGCCAGGCATGGTGGCTCACACCTGTAATCCCAGCACTTTGGGAGGCCGAGGCGGGCGGATCACCTGAGGTTGGGAGTTTGAGACCATCCTGACCAACATGGAGAAATCCCTGTCTCTACCAAAAATACAAAATTAGCTGCGCGTGGTGGAGCATGCCTGTACTCCCAGCTACTCGGGAGGCTGAGGCAGGAGAATCGCTTGAACCCGGGAGGTGGAGGTTGCGGGGAGTCGAGGTTGTACCACTGCACTCCAGCCTTGCTCCTCAAGAGTGAGACTCCGTCTCAACAGAAAGAAAAAAGCGTCTGGAATTATGCCTGAATCATCAAACTCAGTAAATGTTAACTATTATTATGATGCTACTTATTTGGATAATCATTGACCATGCATCTGTTTCTCCTATTTTCCAACAGCTAGAAGAAAAACTCAAAGAAAAAGTGGATGTAAGTCTGATTGAACGAATCAATCTGACTGGAGAGATGGACACGTTCAGCACGTAGGTACCTCGTACACTTGCTCACTGCCTGTCCTCTGTTACACAGCAGCGTTCAGCATGTATGTACCTCGCACACTTGCTCACTGCCTGTCCTCTCTGTTACACAGCAGCATTCAGCACATACGTACCTTACACACACTTGCTGCCTGTCCTCTCTCTGTTACACAGCAGTGTTTAGCATGTATGTAGCTCGCACATGCTTGGTTGCTGCCTGTCCTTTCTCTGTTACACAGCAGCGTGCCTCAGGCTGTTGGCTTTAGTCACTGCAGAACCTAAGAGGTTTCTGTTGGGTCAGAATGAGTCCCTGCTGGCCACTAAGAAGCAGCTTCAGAACTGGGCTGCCGTTGTACCTCCTCAAATGCAGTTGCTCTTTTAGCTTATGGGGTCTGTATTGTGTCACTGTGAAGAATAACCACAGAGAAGACATTCTCCCTTGGCCATCCCTGATCTGCCCCACCTGAACCCACAGAAGGCCAGGCCTACCTTCAGTGTTTTAAAGTGTAAAGTATAAATGGCTTGAATTCAGCCACTGAGGGAATAAGAGTGTGGGGTGGCAGGGGAGGTCCGCCTTCTTTCCCTGTTAGGACCTTGTGGCACTTTAGTTTTGGTCCATTTCTGCTCCACTGCCATTAAATGAGACAGGCATGGCCAGGCCGCAGCTTTCACATCAGCCACTTATTGAGGAAAAATCAAAATTCTCTTCTTAGTTATTTCTTCCACTTCTCTTAACTTTATTTTCTTCACTTCTGACTTAAACATTTTTGGGAAGCAGGTTCTTTTGTAGGAAGATGTGAACAGGGATACTGGGGTGGTGATTAGGGAGACTGGCCGTGGGGTTCTGTGTCCTGACTGGGTGAGGATACAGCCGGGTAAAACCAGGACGAAAAGAAAGAGCCAAGCTGCTCTTCCGCTGTCGTTGATTGAAGCTCAGACTTTGCCAATGAAATGATGAATCTGAGTTTGACACAGAGGCCTGAGTGTCAGCCGTTCAGACGGCAGTTGTTTGAAGGGGTGACCACAGTGATTTCTTTGATTTGCAGCGTCATCTCCAGCAGTATTCAGCTGCTGGTTCAGGATCTGGATGCCGCCTGTGATCCTGCCCTGACGGCCATGAGCAAGGTAAGGTCGTGGGAAATGGCGTCTTACAAACTAGCGAGAGCAGCCCCAGGTGTCATCGACTGTCTGTGGCTTCTCCAGGCTCATCGGAGCTTGAAGGACCAGCTGAGAGGAGAACGGAACGGCCCCAGAGTTCCTGAGAGCACTCAGTGTGTGTAGCACCCGGGTCGGGTCAGTTGCTTGTCCTTTTAGAGACAGCATCACACAGTATTGGAGGATGGCAAAAAAAAAAAAAAAAGAGACGAAGTAAATGTGTTTGATGAGTCTAAAGGAGATGTTGTCTGTGGTTTATGTTTTTTAGAGAGAGGGTCTCTCTCTGTCACTCAGGCTGGAGTGCAGTGGTGCCATCATGGCTCCCTGCAGCCTCGACCCTCTGGGCTCATCCGTCCTCCTGCCTCAGCCTCCCAAGTAGCTGAGACCACAGGCGCTTGCCACTGCATCCAACTACTTTTTAAATGTTTTGTAAAGCTAAGAGTCTTGCTGTGTTGCCCAGACTGGTCTTGAACTCCTTGCGTCCAGCAGTCTTCCCACCAAGGCCTCCCAAAGTGCTGGGATTACAGGCATTAGCCCTGGTGCCCCGCTGAGATGGATCATTTTTAATTACTGAGCGCTCCCTCATGTTCCTATTTTTGGCTTTTATGTGCCTATGCCTTTTTTTCCCAAATGAATGTCAGTTCCGTAAGTGCACAGACCATGTCTCTCACCCCTCTTTTTTCTCTCGTGTAGTCTTGAATATGGGAGATTCATTTTTGTTAATTAAAACTGAGTCAGCCATGTTCCTTTATTTACGTATTTTCTTTGATTAGTATCTGACACATGCTAAAAACCTTGGTGTGGTCTCACCAGAATGGGTGTTCTTGTTAGTGCTTAAAGCAGTAACTTCTGACTCATTCTTCATTCTCGCCCACTGAGAGGTTTTTCCGACTCGTTCTGAGCTCTGGTGCCAGGGCAAGAGTCCTTGATGAGGCTGTGAACTCTGGTTTTCTAATATCCTGGTGGCCCATCAGTCAGCCCTTGGCCCTCAAGTCCCTCCTTTGGCACTTACCGAGCACTACCTCATGTTCCTATTTTTGGCTTTTATGTGCCTATGCCTTTTTTCCCAAATGAAGTCAGTTCCGTAAGTGCACAGACCATGTCTTTCACCCCTTTTTTGTCTCTCGTGTAGCCTTGAATATGGGAGATTCATTTGTGTTAATTAAGTTGGAAATGGTCTTTGTTATGCTAAACCCAAGGAACATGAAGCTGCAACTCTAGAACTTTACTGAGCAGGGATTGGTAAACTAGAGCTTGGGAACCAAATCTGGCCCACTGCTTGTTTTTGAAAATAAAGTTTTATTGGAACACAGCCACGTTCCTTTATTTACGTATCCTCTATAGCTGCCTTTTTGCAATATGGTGGTAGAACTGAGTCATTGCAACAGAGACTAGCCCACAAAGCTAAAAAAATTTAATATTTACTCTCTGACCCTTTATAGAAAAAGTTTGCCAGTGTCTGCTCTAGAGTCCTAGGCTCTTGTAGCAAATTCTGGAGAAATGATTTCTCTGGGTCATACTGGCCAGTACCAGAGGGCAGTGGGAGGAGCACTAACTTTGGAGTCAGACAGACCTAACTCTTCCAGGGCTTCCTTTGGGGGTCTTGAGCAGAGGATTCACCTGTCTGGGCCAACGTGACCTCATCTGGGCCCAAAGGAACTGTGGATCTCTGCATCCCAGCATTGCTGTGAGGATGAAACACGGAACACACGGGTCTAGTGCTGGGCACATAGTAAATACTCATGAAATGTTAGTTCCCTCTCCCTCTTGTCAGGAGGAGTGACCATGTCACAAGGTTGTGTAAGCAGACATTTGGTCTGAATTTGGTTTTGCAGTAGATTGTAAATATTTAACAAAAATAAGATTAAAACCAAAACGTAGGCTTTGGGGTTTTATGAACTGAAGTGGCAAGTCCTAAAATAGCTCACGTCACAGTTTTATTCAGAAAGCTCATCTTTTTCACGAGTCCGGTGCTGACAGGCACGTCCGGCATCCTGGGCATTCACAGGAGGACGCTCCGGGCAGGCGGACGGAGGCCGGTCCGGAGGCGTGAAGGAGTTCGTTTTGCAGACTCTGCTTATCCCCTCCTGCTGGTGACCATTCCCCACATCCTGAGTGTGATCTGTCCCAGCTGCCGTCTCTCCTGAACTGCACACACTTCAGGTCGGAATGCAGCTGGTGAAAGCATTTCCACATTTACCAAAGGAAGAGTGGATTTTTTTTTTTTTCAATAAAATCACAGTTGGAAGGGGTTTAACACTGCAGGTGTTGCTTATACCAACTGTCAGTTGGTTCTGTGGATTTCCCTCAAACCCTGCCCCGTCCCACCCTCTACTTCTCCCCGTGCCCACACCAGAAAATATTAACAGAGACCGTGCCTCCCGAGTCCTTTGTTTCTATCATAGGAAAACCACAGATTTGGGGACGCAGCAGCTGGGAGGCCGTTACTTTTTGTCTGAGTCTTCTGGAGTTGTAGCAAAATAAAATCCATGTGATGGAAGTAAACAAGCCAAGTGGTCACAAATTGATTCAACACGCATTCTGTGTTCTTTATGCCTGCATCCTGTTTTGTGTAGTTTCTTCTAGGATTTTAAAAAACTTCTGTGATAATGGTTGTTTCTGTCTCTGATTCTATCATTTTTGCCGCTGGTTGGACAGTTCAGTTCAGACCCTGCCCAGCACAGTGCTGGGAGCTGCGAGGCTCAGAAAGGCGTAAACCTTTGGCTGAGGTATTTAGATTCCAGGAGCTGAGGGCAAGAGATGTGTAAGATGACAGCGACACCCGGTAACTTTAATAAAAGAGGTGAGGAAATCAGTGCCGTAAGAAAAGTACAAAATACGCCCTCTTTAAAGAGGGAGGAGTTCATATCCAGGTGGGGATCAAGGAAGGCCCTGGTAAGGAAGCGGTGTTTGAAACAGATCAGGGTGAAGTTCTGAATGAATTTGTGATTAGGAGGGCAGTTCAAACGGGGTGAAAACGTGAGTAAAGTTCTGTGAGGTGAGGAAAGCTGAAGAGTTTGGTGAAAACTGCCACTCTCAGTCAGCATCCCAGGGGCTCCTCCGGCTCCTCCTGTACTTGGACTGATAGGGTTAAGATGGGAAAGGAGACTGCCCTCAAGGAGTCTGTACCCTGCTGGGAAGAAAACTGAGAAGAACCAGTACTGTAAATAAATGTATCTTAGAAATGTCAGAAGGACGGTTGACTTGCCAAAATGGAGTGTAGTTGCTGGATGATTCTGAGTTGACGGAAGGAGCTTTCCTTGACAAGATAGATTGAGCCAGGCAACTTGGTTAAGTCATTTTCCTGGGAGACCTCATTCTCGTGGAAGGAGCCTCGTGGCCTCCGCCGTGGTTGGCATATAGAGCTTTCATTATCTGTCTCTTCACTCCACTGCCAGGTCAGTTTCTGCCGCTCCTTCCGGAGTATGTGCCCAGTTCTCCAGCCGTAGCCGTGTTTACTTCCCTGAATGCACATTGCTCTTTTGTGGCTTCTATGCCTTTTCTCATTTTATTCTTTCTGCCCACAATTTTCTTCCTGCTATCGTCTGCCCAAGGAGCACATCCTTTAAGATCGAGTTCGAATGTCTGTCCCCGTTTAAAAACCTGAGGTATAATTCACATACCATAGAATTCACCCTTTTAAAGTGTACACTTGGCCAGGCGCAGTGGCTCACGCCTGTAGTCCCAGCACTGGGAGGCTGAGAAGGGCAAATCATTTGAGGTCAGGAGCTGGAGACCAGCCTGGCCAGCATGGTGAGACCCCGTCTCCACTAAAAATACAAAAAACTTGCTGGACGTGATGGGTCACACCTATAGTCCCAGCTCCTCAGGAGGCTGAGGTAGGAGAATCACTTGAACCTGGGAGGTGGAGGTTGCAGTGAGCTCAGATCGCGCCACTGCTCTCCAGCCTGGGCGACAGAGTGAGACTTATCTTACAACTAAATAAAGTGTACAGTTTAGTTGTTTTTAGTATATTCACAGTGTCATGAAACCACCACCACCATCTAATTCTAGAACATCTTCATCACCCCCAAAAGAAACCCCATACCTCTCAGCAGTCATTCTCCATTCTGCTGACAACCATTAGCCTACTTTCTGTCTCTGTGGATTTGCCCCTCCCAACATTTCGCATACATAGAATCACATGGCGTGTGGCACGTCTTGCGCCTGGCTCTCTTCACTTAGCGTCGTGTTTTCAGGGCACATTCATGGTGGGGCATGTGTCAGCACTCCATTCCTTTTTGTGGCTGAGTGACATTCCATTGTGTGGATAGACCACATTGTGTTTATTCATTCATCTGTTGGATGTTTGAGTTATTTCTACTTTCTGATTTTGAATATTGCTGTGAACATTCATGTACAGGTTTTCATATGAACATGTTTGCAGTTCTCTTCAATATGTACCTAAAGGCTGGGCGTGGTGGCTCAAGCCTGTAATCCCAACACGTTGGGAGGCCAAGACGGTCGGATCATCTGAGGTCAGGAGTTCAAGAGCAGCCTGGCCAACACGGTGAAACCCCATCTCTACGAAAAATACAAAAATTATCCGGGTGTGGTAGCGCGCGCACCTGTAACCCCAGCTACTCGGGAGGCTGAGACAGGAGAATGGCTTGAACCTGGGAGGCGAAGGTTGCAGTGAGCCAAGGTCTCACCACTGCACTCCAGCCTGGGCGACAGAGGGAGACTGTCTCAAAAAAAAAAAAAAAGTACCTAAGGAATGGAACCGAAAGAGCCGTATGGTCAATTTATGTTTAACGTTTTGAGAAACTGCCAAACTGTTTTCTGAAGTGACTGTGCCATTGTATATTTCCACCAGCAAAGTGTAAGGGACTCAGTTTCTCCACATCTTCCCCCACACTTGTTTTCCTTTTTTATTATAGCCATTTTCGTGGGTGTGAAGTGGTATCTCATTGTGATTTCAGTTTCCATTTCTCCCATGACTAACATGCTGGTCACCTTCTCAGGTGCTA